TACGAGAGAATGCTTCGGTTGGTCATTCCTCTGATGGGGCTAATTCCTTTTTTCGGCATCCCCAGTCTGGCATTTTGTCAGTGCCAGTTTCTGTTGGAGAGATTCCTTACCAAAGCATGTGTGCAGGATATCATACCATCCTGCAACCAATGTTCTACCCTGAATCCTCTCAACCACAAAATTTGTCTGCCTCAGAGGATCCAGGAGCAACCTCTTGCACTCCTTTGAAAAAATCCAATCAGAGTGCCAGCTCTAACCAGGATATTTACAAGGTTTGTGGAAAAAATGATTGTGACAAGACTACAGAAGCTGCTGCAAATGCAGTCAATTCTTTAGAAAATTGGAATGATATATTCATCCAGAACTCTGGCAGAGAAGGGTTGGATTGTGATCGTGCTCATCGAGAGGCTGCATTAATAAAATTCCGCTTGAAAAGAAAAGACAGATGCTTTGAGAAAAAGGTAATGGGATGAATGACTTTAATTCGTGCCCATGAATATACTTCTTCATCGAACAATTCACGATGGATAGCACTAATGTTCCTTGATGTACTTTGCTTTGGCAGGTTAGATACCACAGTAGGAAGACGCTAGCAGAACAACGGCTGAGGATAAAAGGGCAATTTGTGCGTAAAAAAGCAACTAATTCGGCAACTGCAACAGAATCAGAAGACTAACTCGAGTGACTTACTATAAATTTTCCTTGAAACTTGATGACCTGTCAAGTAATTATGAGGTAAATTTGACATCGGGTGTTCTCTTTTATCGATGTCCTCAATTACCCTGCACGGTTCTCGTCCATGTTGTTAGCTTGTAATCTGAAGGAGATAGGTGAGACAATATTTTCACAGGTTCTCATACTAAAGATGGGAGTAGCACAGTTATAGCCCCACATCTACACTGCTTGGAAATTGTCATCTGTTTGTAGACCCTCCTTGCGACAAGGTCTGGAATTGCTGATCACTCTGGAAATTAATACTTACTATGGTCAGATGGTCCGACATTCTTGAATTACCATCTTGCAGCAAATACAGAACCGATGATTTAACTCGTTCAAAGCTGACCACCGCAGAATAAAACAGCAGGTAATGTTTATGTTCATATTAGGTTCTGAAGTGCTCATCAATTTGCAGTGTGATACTTATCGTCTTTCATGCATCGTCTTGCCACGACCAAATCCAGTGAGCTCGTATGGCATTGCTGATCCTAAGCGTTGGATATTATACCTAGTTGAATTCCCATCCGGAAGATTCCTGTTTATATCTTGTCCTTTTTAGGTGTATTTGTACTTTTGTGTTCAGAGACGAGAAACACTCTTTTTGACATTTGTCTGCCACAAATCTTGGGTTGACTACAATACGAATGACACCCGAATCCATAAAACATAGATTAGCCTAACATTGTTATTTCAAGAACATTTGGGATGTCATCGGTATTCAAAGATCTTTATTGCTCAGTTATAGTTGAACATTTGTGCTCCAATGTGATAATACATTATCTTTTCTGATTTCAATGCCTCTAAAAATTATAGGGGGAGAGAGTTATGATATCTAATAATATACTTCATTTTCGTTTAGCATTTTGGCACCTACAATCCTACAAAAGATGAACCTCTATTTAATTTGAATCAATCTTGATGAAGACATGTGCCAACCAATCCAAGCTTGGAGAGATGAATCTTCCAAGTCTCGGAAGAGCTACTAATCTAAAGAAACAAAGAGCCCAGCGAAAGTGACCGGCAAACTACTCCGTGGTTACGCACCCACTTTTTCCATGTGGTGGTGATCGGTCGATGGCGTCGGCTGCTCCAAGCCGTCGTCTGTACTTTGGTGCTCTTCGGCGAACGAAGAGACCGCAAGGCAATTAAACAAAGAGAGGAGCGTAGGGAAGTTGGCTGTGAGCGTCTGCGTGCGTCCGCCCGCCCGCCCGCCCGTTTCCTTTCTCGCGGTGAAGGGGAAAGCCGAACCATTTTGAGGCCCACTCGACACCATCTGTTGTTGTTTCCTTTATGTGAGCGCTTTAACGTGCACTTCTCGATCAATGTAGATTGGATCCACTTGTGGATCTAAGAGGGTTGGAGCTGTTTCTTTGTCGACGATGTGTCTTTAAATGCATGATTTGATTGTATGTTTGACATCGGACACAGAAATATTTTGTTTTCCATTAGAAATAAAACAATTTAGGGTACAGTATATGATATCTGTTTTTGGTCAGATTTATACAAAACAATGTCCTTAGTCAAATTAAAAGTTGACTTTGTCATCAATGCGTATTGGACATATGTCACATCGACTTTTAAAGATGACAGGACATGCTATACCAACATGGTATTAAAAGGAATATTTTTTTTATTAAGCTAATAATAATAAAAATAATGCTTTTGGTTCATTCCTAACTCGATAAATAAATACTAAACTCCTTGTATGCTTCCAGGAGTATTCTTAAAAAAAATATTTATTTTTTTATTAATATATCTTTTTTATTTATTATTTTAAAAAAATATCTTTTATTTTATAAAAAACGATATATCCTTGACCTCCATCCCATTAGTCACCATCACCTTTGCCCCTTATCATCACCCATATTCTATTATCTTTTTTTTTTTCTATTTTTTTTATCTCGAATACACTAACGACATGATGACTATGATTGTGTTACTATTCACCTTCTACAATGTGTAAGATTTCACTCGGAAGAGGCCTTGGCCTCCTTGATGCTCGAGTCGATTTTTATCGATACTTTCAAGGTGGTATTAGCAATCGATGAGGAGAGGAGGGGAAGGGTAATGGATCCTTATAGCAGCAATGGGCGAGTGTGCGACCATGTGGGGTGATATATTTATGTTTAAAAAGTTGAAAGCATTGTAGAGGATTAATGTGAGGTCCATAGTAAGAGAGTTACAAAGTCATAGGATTCGTACGATATACTACGAAAGTAATTGAGGCAATGTCATGTTGCTCACCGATGTCTTTGAGGTTGGAGGAAGATAGTAGGGGAGAAGACAATAATGGAGAGGTGACAATTGATTGACGAGACAAAAGCGAGGGGTAATTTAATCCTTTTGAAAATAATGAGTATTATATAAGAATAAATGAAAAAAGTTGGTAACAAAAAAAGATATAAAAAGAATTTTTTTAAAAAATTACCCTATGCTTTTCATACCCATGATAAATAGATTAATAGACATTGACAATTAAAATAATTTATGAGAGGGTAATCTTTTGCAAGAACAAACTAAAATTAGACAAAGAACATGAGATAGAAGATATAAATATTTTCTATTAGAAAAAATCTTAGATAAGAGATACAAATAAATTTCATCATCTATGATTAATGACCAATATCAACTACATAATGAAAAATTGTTCGATCTTTCTTTCATATGACTACAACATTAACTGGCTATTTCGTTTATAGACTCATTATAATACATTTATAATCTATTAAATGACTATTTCGTTTCGACACTACTATTAATTTGATAGATTATCTCCATCAAATTAGAAGCTAACGAAGATGATTATCTATGAATCAAACAAAATAAAAATAAAACATCAAACCCGATTTGGACTCTCCAAGATTAGAGCAAATAGAATTAGTGTTCTTATTTTCCTTGAAAATTAGTGATAGGTAGAATTGAATATTTCTTATCCTTTGTCATGCTATCCCAATCATCATCGATCAATACGGTGCATGCATGATCAATATGTACCTCGTGCTCCTCCTGTCTAAAGAGCACACGGGAAAACCTTCATGAAACTTATTAACCATTACAAGTCTAATGTCTTAGTGATATGTATGATATTTTCTTATTAATCGATTTAGATAATATTCTTTAAAAGAGCACTCACTATAGGTATGGTTTTCAAAATTTAAATCTCTCAATTCTCCCATCAAATTTCATACCAGTTTGAGTGTCAATTATCTATCTTTAAGAAATAATAAACATTTGGAAAACAAATTATGTTGAATCTAATCAATTCTGAAATGTAACAATGAGGTGGCTTCCATGAGTACCTTATAATTCACACTACAAAGTTAATCATGAAGATGATGAACAGTAAACTGGTAATATCAAATTGAGTCGTGTCAATAACTTAATTCAATATAAAAATCCTAAGAGGTACGAAAAAGCAAAACAAAAACAAAAAACAAATAAAATACTATGGTGGTAACATTAAATTGAGTCTTACCATACATTGCCAATAATAATTCATTCTACATATAAAAATATATAAGCACGTTAGGTACCAACAAGACAAAATATAATTAGAGGAAGATTGGAACCTTCCATCAAAGTCTACTACTTCACTTCCATTTCGCATCATGTACCATATTTTAAACAAAAGAAAATAATGTAAACACAATAATTCATCAATAGGATGCTTTCAACCCTCGATTGGCTCCTAACTTGCTAAGCCATTTAGTGACCTATAAATAGTGAGACTTCTGAGAATTTGGCCTTGTGAATGGTGTTTTAAGAGGTCATAATTGTTTCTAAAGGATGTGCCGTGAAGACAATATATTTGATTCATGATGTTACTTATACAACAATATAGACCTTTTGAAGGCGAGATATTAAATCCTTAATGATTAGTGAGATGAAATTTTGGACTTGTAATTTTTTTTGGTAAGCGAATCTGATGTTAAAATTCGATTGTAATTTTTCTTAGATTCACTGTTTCATTCCTATATAATATTGACTTTTAGGAGTTCATTTAGCAGTCGATCCAAATGATTAGAGACACTATAAGATTCGATCATATCCGTCCACTTAGCTTTTTCGTAGCCGTGTGAGGTTTTGTGCCACGTAAAGCCGGCCAACGAGTTTGTCTTCTTACATGTGTGAAACGTGTCATTCATTCTGATCCAAAGAGAAAAAGAAAAATCTAACGAGATTTTATATATGTATATATATATATATATCGCCAACTATTGAATATAATTGCCATTATCCCAATCTCCCGTCGAAGCTTTTACAAAACCCACACCTCCGTATCAGCCCCCACTCATCCTCGATCAACGCAACGCCTGTGCTGAGTTGATAGCTTTCGAGTTCGAGCCTCCACGACTCGGTAAATTTCTTATGGCCACCCAGTCGCAGGCTGCCCGTGGCACAACCGCCACCGCCACCGCCACCACCATAGAGGACCTCCACTCGGACATGCTGATCCGCGCCCTCCGTCACCTCGACGGACCGGCGCTAGCAGCCGCCAGCTGCGCCACCACCCACCTCCGTGCCATCGCCTCGCAGCCCGATCTCTGGCGCGACCTCTGCGTCACCACTTGGCCATCGCTCCGCCACCCCCGCCTCCTCCGCCTCCTCTCCTCCTCCCCCAACGCTCATCGCTCCTTCTTCTCCGACGCCTTCCCTTCCCCCTCTCCGCTCACCGTCCTCACCGACGACGATGCCAGCCTCCCCTCCGAGCTTATCTCCGCCGTTGACCTCTACCACCAGGGCGCCCTCGTCTTATCCCGCGTCGTCGAGACCGACACCTCCACCCTCTGGTTCAGGGGCGCCCCCTTCCGCATCGATGCCCTCGACCGGAAGGACCCACCTCCGCCGCCCTCGCCTACGCTACCCGCTGCCGCGGCCGCAGCCGAACCGGCCATCTCACCCGAGGATCTGACACTGAGCTGGGTCGTCATCGACCCGCACCGGCGGCGCGCCATGATCGCGACGAGCCGGCATCCTGTGGCGGTCGATCGGCACTGGATCACCGGCGAGACGGTGGTCCGGTTCGCGTCGGTCCTCGGCGAGGAGTGCGCCCTCGGGGTGGTGGTCACCTGCGGGGAGGAGACGGGGCACGTGCTCGAGATGAGTCTGATGGCGGAGGGTATCGACGGGGTCTGCTTGAACGGCAGGGACGGCTTGGCGGTAATCCAAGCGGCGATAGAGGGTGACAGGAAGAGAGAAGAGGCGGAAGAGGTGGAGAAGAGGAAGTGGGAAGAATTCGTCGGGCGACGGCAGAGGCGGAAGGAGGCGGCCGCGCGGCGGGAGCGAGTGGTGGACCTGGCCTGCCTTGCGGTGGGCGGCGCGGCGTTCTTGGCACTCTTCGCAATTGCGGTTTCGAGGTGGTTGGATCGCGCGGTCTAGCTGAACCGGGAAGAGGTTGATCCCCTCGCTTCTCGTTTTCACATCTCAACCGTGAGCGGGACCTTCCCTCATATCTCAGCCGTTCACTGAATGTGAAGACCATATATGTGGCACGTCACCATAGTTCTCAGGTGGGTCCTCCAGAAAATGGACGATCGATATATGAGCAGATGACCGACCATCAGACGGTCCAGATATCTGAACTGATACTGCGAAGCGGTCAACGCAATACTAGTTAGAGAAATGATAGATACTTGGATGTAAAGATAGGTGGGTCACATATTATGAATGGTTCTCTTGGGGTTGTTATGTAATCCCATCCGGTCTTCGCGAAGAATAACTCACCTAATAACAGGCATTTCCACATCCTCTTTATTAATAGCAGCAATTCGCTCGCCACAAGTAAAGGATTCTGAATACTGTCCAACTCCTCTCGGTATTCAACCATTCCACGCACACATCATCATCATGTCCTCTGGTATCCAAATATGGAAGAAGCAGCTTACGGTAGCTCGAATTGGGTCGGCCATGGAGGAGCCGAGGCTGGCCATTTTAAGGGCCCAACCGCCGCAACCATCGAGACCTTTGGGCTCGACTGGAGATCACTCAAGGCCCACGAGCAACCTCCTCGCAACCACGCGAGGGCTCCCTCTTGCGGATCGTCCCGGCGTCTTGACTCATCTGGTTGGCGGAATCAGGTAAATCACACGTTGGACGCGAGGGCTTTTCTTGAACCTCGTCCGATCCGACTGGAATAGGACTTCTCCTACGAAGACGCCGTAGCGGCCCGAGGCGTCGCCGAACCTGTCCTAGGCTCGTGTGCTACTCCGAAATTTAATCCCGAGGTTCGCGTAGATTTGGAAAATTGGATCGATTTGAAGAGAAGATGGGAGGATTAGAAGAAGAGAAGCATGCGCGGTACATCGTCTCGGTTGAAAAGGTTCTCTTTGATTTCGTACTTGGATTCTTTTTTCTCTGTGAGAATGAAATTGATTGGGGAATTTGACGATTTGTATCAGAAGAAGGATGATTTCGAGGCTTTAGTGATAGAGCATTTGAGAATGAATGGTGCATATTGGGGTCTGACCACTCTTGACCTGCTCAACAAAATTGGAGCTATCGATGTAGATGCGGTCGTGTCTTGGGTGATGGAATGCCAGGACAAAGATTGTGGTAAGTTCGTTACCCATAACAAAAGGTCTTTCTTTTGTGGTAGATGCGTGATACATCTTAAAAGTGTGATTTCAGGAGGCTTTGCTGGAAATTTAGGGCATGATCCACACCTTTTGTACACAATCAGTGCTGTGCAAGTTTTAGCACTTCTCGACAGGCTTGATCTTCTTGATATCGAAAAAGTGTCGGATTGTATCCTTCTCGTTTGGAGTTTATAGATTATATCTCAACAATTTTCTACTTTTGCTAATTTAATTAATGGTTGATGTTGGAAGCGTTCTTTTTTAGCATCTTTTATGGTTGTACAATAGTTGAGCTATGTTTTTCCATTATTCATGTTGTTTATTTTATAATTTGATTAATGGCTGATATCCATGGCATTCTGATCCAAACATTCTCATGGTTTTGCACATTTAGACTCTTCTGTTTCTTGTATGAATGCATGAAGAAAGTTGACCTCAAAGTACGAAGTACTTCATACCTTGATTTTTATAAATCACATAAGATACTTTTAAGCTACTAAGTAGGTTAGCAACTGAGAAGGAAGCAATACTTCTGATTTCTGAAATATGATGCAACTGGTCTTGAAGACCGTTGATCACAGAGTGGAAAAAGGAGGAGGCTTCTTGTTTATTCATTTTATGAGGTCTTTTTAGCCGCTAAACTTGAAGGAAGGAGAATTATGATGTTGATTGTGGTGGATGATTTGCTCTATAAATCATATATTCATAGTTAAAAGCGACTCAAATCTTGAATATGTTAGTTTATTAATTTGTGAAAATGTTTGGATTTTGCTACCAGGATTAACAGTCATGGAATCAAATTAAATAGGAAGTTCTTAGTTTCAGGAGAATATACCTGTTGATGCTTCATGGATTGAAGATAATTAGCTGCGTGGAAGAGGAGGTTGTAACAGATACAAGGCTTGAACCCGATCACAATTTTGTCATTGTTCAGATTGGAACAATCGAATTCTCAGTAGATAAGAAGTTTTTTAATGCTAGTTGAATCAATTTGGATGTTATTTGGTTGGTTTATTTCCGTAAGTTTTTTATTAGATTGTTTTAATCGATTGATTAATTGGTGGTTGATAAGAATTTAGGAGTCCTATGTATGTTAGTACTGTACAAGTGGCTGTAGCATGAATTTTTGCTACAAGTTTGTACAGTTATGTGACCGATAACTTTTTTGCTAGAATCATTCTTGCAATTGTATTTATCAAGAAGGAGATGTGACTTTATAACAGTTTTGTAATTGAATTCGACTGCATCTATCGTCGCACTTAATTTTTAATTCAGATGTGGCTGGCTTACAGAACGAAGATGGATCTTTTTCTGGTGATATGTGGGGTGAAATTGACACTAGGTATAGTTCTCTTCTTACCTGTTGTTTTAAATTGTCATGATATAAAACAGTTCTGGTGATATATGGCAAGGAATCGCCACTAGGTGTAGTTCTCTGCTCACCTGCTATTTTAAAATGTCTTGATATAAAATATTCAGAGGACTTGGTATGAACTTTTGTTGTAGGTTTTCTTATTGTGCAATCTGTTGTCTCTCACTATTGGGCCGTCTGAGTAAAATCAATGTGGAAAAGGCTGTAAATTACATTGTCAGCTGCAAAAACCTAGACGGTGGATTTGGGACTATACCCGGTGGGGAGTCACATGCTGGCCAGAGTATTGTTCTTCTTTGCTATTACTATATCGTGCTTGTACTTCATTCTAAGCTGCATTTGTCCACTAGTTTTTCTTGGTCTGTCAAATTATCAATTTCTTATCCCATACATTATATTGTAAAACCAATGCAATCAGCTCTGCTGTAGTTGATACTGATGCTGTTTCTTCTTCATCCTTCATCAAATTTTGTACTACTTAAAGATACTTGTCTGACCGTTTGGCATGCAGTCTTCTGTTGTGTCGGTGCGCTTGCAATCACGGGTTCCCTGCACCATGTCGACAGGGACCTGCTTGGTTGGTGGTTGTGTGAGCGGCAATGTAAAGATGGAGGATTGAACGGCCGACCTGAGAAGCTTGCCGATGTGTGATTCTATAGTGCTCGTCATTCCTAATTAGCCCTTAAGATCATACCTTCATCCTTTCTTTTTGTTGAATAGACATCTCATTCAAGTCAGTGCAGGTTTGCTACTCTTGGTGGGTACTATCCAGTCTTATTATGATCGACAGGGTTCATTGGATTGACAAGGAGAAACTCACTAGGTTCATCTTGAACTGCCAGGTCTGCTTATCCTATCTAGTAATTTTTTTGCTGTTAACAAGTTTTATCGTAAGTGAAGGATATTATTTCGTATATTATTTGGGTGATGCTATTGTTTTCAAAATGCAGGACAAAGATAATGGAGGCATATCAGATAGACCAGACAACGCCGTCGATGTTTTTCATACCTACTTCGGCGTTGCAGGTGCTAATCAACATTTTCCATGTTCCTTTTTTTTTCCCCTTCTTCTTTGCTTAAACCTCTTCTGCCCAATATATTTGGAAATCTTCACAGTTGTCTTGGCTCTTGTTCTCTGTTTTATCATTTCAAAGTTATTTTTCTGGACATATTTCTGAGGCTGTGTTTATATTGATAAACAGGGCTCTCTCTCATGGAATATCCAGGATTAAAGACGATAGATCCTGCCTACGCCCTTCCCGTTGATGTGGTAAATCGAATCTTCTTTAGAAAGTGAATCTACTGTGATACGAACAAGCAAGTGGATGCTGCATTTGATTGCTGCCTCCCGTATGCATGCTGGACGTTATCCCCTCCCTCTCTTCCTAGTATTCATCTTGAAAGCTTTCGGGGAGTCGAATTCCCATCTAAATCTTTTATTGTGGACGTGACTACTGTAACTAATACCACCTCATCACTAGTTATATCATCGCATGTTTCCCTCTTCGCATCATTAGTTGCTTTAACACAGTCATTTGGACCAGCAAATATGTATGAATGAATGCCTTGATGCGTTGATGTTGATGTGGTGGCACACACTTTAACTTCTGTTCTCGCCCAAATTAAATTCACATCATGGAGGATGCAACAAAATTATACTCGTAGATAGTTATTCCTACGTGGCGGTTCAAGCTGACTCGGAATTGCTTTCCTCGTCTACTCCGAAAGGAAGTCTGGACGCGGAGAGAGGCGGTGCCTTTTACCGCCTTCCGCCTTCCTTCTTCTCGACCGACATTGGCGGTAGGCCTCCCGATCTTTTTTTTGGACGCCTATAAACAGGGGGACGAGCGCCAATGCCCACAAACCTAGCGGGAGAGAAGATGGTAGCGAGGGGCAACGGAAGACGAAGGGCTCTCGTCCTCTTTCTGGTTCACTTCCTTCTCCTCTGCGTCTTTCTTCTTCATGCGACGGAGGCCCACCGCTCCGTAATTCCATCAGGCATGCACTCCGTGTTCCTTTTTGTCTGAACAACCAACCACCTTTCTTCGTTTGTGGTGATTCCTTTCATAAAAATTGAAGAGCTCGACTTGCTTTCTTTCTTCCCTCTGTCGACAATTTAAATGATTATTGGCTCAAGTTTGAAGCATGAACGATCTCACCTGCCCGCCTTCCTTCTCTTTCAAGTAGACTGTTCCACATGGGGATGTGATTCGTCGTTGCTTCTCGACGTAGCACTCTAGTTTATACTGCTTCATCTTAATGGAAGCATGACCAGTCTCACCTTTCTTAGGTTGTATAATCTTATGATTTATTTGTTTTTCATGTTCAACGCATTTTCAAGTCTCGGGCAATAAAAATAGAATTAGGTTGAAATAATCAAATCTTTCCAAACTTGTTAACTGGTGTGCTCGATCCGAAATAAAGACACAAATTGTTGACACATTATCCAAAAGAAAATTTAGGCTTTTAATTGTAACCATGCCTTCATGTGAACCTCGGTTTCGTGAAGAGTTGCTTACTCTCTGCCTTGCGGCCATTCATATGTATTACATGTTCATCGTGTTTTTCTCGACTTGCATCGAATCCTATTTGCCGTGTATTTACTAATTGTGTTCCTTGTTCTTTTCAGCAAATTTGCAGCATAACACAGGAGATCACGTTTCCAGCTCGAGAAGGATCACAAGAGGCTTCGGTGGGGGTGGACACGGTGGTGGCAGCCATGGACGTGGTAGCGGCCGTGCTCGTGTGGTGCCAGGCGGAAGGGGAGCTGCTGCTGCTTCTACTCGCAACAACGATGCAGCGAGTCGTAGCTGCAGCTACTCCTTCCCGGTGGTCTTTGTTATGGTAGCTGCGGCTGCCATTTTTGCTTCTTTTTAGACTCCACTACTAGGATCAAACTTACCGTCGAAAGGTGACGATGAAACAGATACCGGTAGAGTAGAACGTTAATTGTTTTGTTGGATTGTGCAAACCTTGTTTATGTCGTCGACACCTAATAATGGCAAGTCTTGTTTATAATAAGATGCATGACATTAAGAGAGAGGTAGGTTTACATGGACCCAAGAAACCTTCCTCCGGAAAGCAGAGAGAACAACCATAGCATTACAATGGCGGCACATCGCTCTTATTTGTAACCCTGATCGCTACTAAACGACACTGCGTCATCTTCAACGGAGAGATGGCAAACGAGACTATTTGTATGGTGGTGGTGGGGGTGGCGAAGACGGAGAATGATAGTGACGCGGCGGTGGAGAGTGCTCAGGGATGGTCTTGTATGGTGGCGGGGCCTTGTATGACGGCGTCGGCTGAGAAGGCGGGTGCGTCGGATGGTGGGGTGGCGTCGATGGAGGGTAAGGACGGTGGGTCGGTGGTGGAGACTTGTAAACCGGCGGCGGAGTTCTGGGCTTGTGAGCAGGAGGTACGGGATAATCATGTGACGGTGGTGACGGGTGCTGGCCATGCGGCGGTGGGGAAGGCATGTGGTAGTACGGAGGGTGTTCTGCGTGAGTTGGTGGTGCAGGTTGGTGGTGGTGTTGGTGGTGGTGGTGGTGTTGCGGAGGGGGTGCACCGTAGATTGGTGTTGGGTGATGGTGGGACGGAGGTTGGCCACCATGACTCGGTGGCTTAGGGTGGGTCGTCGGAGGGCCGTGGTAGGGTGGTGGTTCAACTGAAGGCGGCTTGGCCACGGGGGTGGGCGGTGTGATGGTGTAGTAAGGCGAAGTGGCACCACACAGAGGTGAGAGCGTCACCACGAGAGCGATGCAGAGGGGGAAGAAGGCCCTCAAAGCCATCTCAGCACTCGCTCTACGGGCACCAATAATGGCTACCGAAGCGGGGGAGAGGGAGGAGGTGCGAGATCAATACATTTCTCCTCCCTCGCCTGCCTTTATATACAGGACAGCTTCGCGTGGCGAAGGAAGGAGAACCGAGTTGGTGAGGATACCACCACCTAAACCTGCCCACCATAATCGCCAGAGTTGTTCTTCCTTTTCTTCGATTGCAGCAGCAAGTCAAAAAGTTGGATGTCAGAGATCACGGGAATACGTGGAATGGATTGACTAATGTCCGGAACGTGACCATCAGAAGTGGGCCCTTCCCATTCGAATGGATTTGAATTGCGATCAATCTTTCCGCGTTCGTCGGTGTCTTGTTTCACATGCAGCCAAAACCAACGCTACCATATTGCCCTTTAGTGAAATTTTACTTCCCCTCCACTCCAAAGATTGGGTGACTTTTCGGAGAAAACGTCTCCTTTAAGGGGTTTTCCCGAAAAGTACCAACATTTTTAAAAATTGTCAGATAATATTTTTTAAATTTAATACCTAAAATATCTTTGATTGGACAGTAATTCATGTATTCCTTTTTCATTTTCTCTCTCTCTCTCTCTTTTTTGGGATCAATCCAATCCATGGAGTGAATTGATCTATTTGTAATGTTCTCTACCATAAAAATATTATAATCTAATTCACCTGCGTACTGATCCATAGGACAAGAAAGGAAACAAAAAAGTGACGACGTATTCTGAATACTAGGCAAAAAAAAATTATCGGAAAAAAATAAACTTTTCTCGGAAATTTGCGATTTTGAGTGTTGATGGACAAATCATGTTAGTATTGTGACGCAAATGTGCACATGCTCGATGTGGCAAAGTGCGAGTGAACCTTCTCAGTATTTTCACACGTTTAATCCTATAGAAGGGCATCTACGTCGGTTGTAGTACAACTGCGTATGATCGTCATATTCGTATACGAGAAATAATTCTTAATCCAAAATGTAAATGTCAGTCACCTCAACGATCCCCTGACATACGTGTAACTCTAGCCAACCTAAACAACTCATCCCGCCAATGCAGTAACTGTACGGCGACTGAGGAGACAATTCTTGTGTGTTTGCAGTGTCAATAGGGCCCCAAGAGATAGGACAAGTATGGCCTCTCGTGCTCGATTCTTCGCTGTTTCTCCATCGAAGGTGTGGTTTGTTGTCTTGTGGCAGTGATGGGACCCATGTAATCCGGAGTATTATAGGAATCGGCCGCTTGTCCGAACCCAATCGAACCGAACCGTGTTTCCAGCGGCGAGGTTCCATATAAGACCAGTATCGCTTCGAAGTTATGATTGCTTGGTTTGGTCAGGGTTAACCAGGTGGGTACGGTGTGCACCGGCTTGTCGCTGCTCCGTGAACACAGCCTGACGCGGTACCCTTCGCTTCGGTAGCCCATGTGGCTCGGGCTTTCGCCCAGGTCACACGGGCAAGCCGGGTCACAAGCCAGTAAGTACTTCTTGGCTCGGCTCGGCAAGTCATAATTCCTTGGACTCATGTGCTCTGATCAACGCTTGTCGTCCATGTGACCTCGAGCGATCACTTGGGGCATGATGAGATCTCTCATCCCTCAGGGTTTTGCATGATGCATGGCCTTGTGTTTCGTCGTGCCTTCGCCAAATTTGTGTGTCAAATGTTTTCTTTTCGGCCATTGCCAACCCTACTATTCGTGGTTACGATTTGATAATACAAAGCAAGTCAAGTTCGAGAAACTCTAATACGAAGGACTACAATGATATAGCAACAACAGGCATACTAAAGCCGAACCTGCATCCGAGACAGCAGCTTCTTGTTCGAGGATTCAATCGAACGGATCTATACGCGGATCATGTTCACTTGCCATAGCCATACCTGTGCATAGGCATGTTGGGCACATGACCTGAAGAAGATACAGTTCCATAAGACGGAGGAAGATAACCAGGTGAATTGGTGCTCAACCGATACACTTATAAAACAACATGTTTAAAGCAAGCAAGCAAATGTGTATAAACTGGACATCAATAAACCGATTGCCTATAGGAATTTTACATGTTTTTTAGCAAATGAAGACGATAGCAAGCAAGCTAGCAACACTAAACACTCGTGTTGTCTCTCAAAAACTTTTATGCATAGGATGCTAACTTCATCATCTCAAGTGATTTCAGTCCATACAAGTGATAAGAGTGTATGTAGCCTTGGCATTTAAGTTTCTCTCTGGATCCTCTTGGTGTTGCTTCCGATAAGGATGTGTAAATAAAAAAGTCATGAGCCGTGAACTAAGAAGCTAGTCCACAGATTCAGTCCAGTGTTCTTCATAAGGGAGACATGGCAACTAAATTTGCTTGATTAATTCTAATTCCTATATGCTCAATCAGATTAATTCTAATGTCGATATCCTCTATCGTATACAAGTAGCATAAATGTCCACAAGAAGTTAGAAGAAGATAAAATTGGAGTGAGCCAAACATATAATCATAACAAGTTGCAAGAAATATAAGACAGCAACTGTTTCACATGATGGTAACAGAAAACCTACATGTATATTACAAGTGCTAAGTTTCACAGACCATACCTTTCCAGTTCCGGAGCAATTTGTACACCTCTGAGTTGAAGGCGGTTGAAAAGGACTATTGCAACCATCAGGAATGGAATTCGGTTCAATGCTCAAGAAAACACCACTAGCAGAACATCTAGCACAGACCAAATATCCTGGACCGAGGAAGACAATATAATGAGAGTAATATGCAATTATTAATGAGACAAACTCACCAAGCATGAAACAAGCAGAGCAATATGCAAAAAGTAATGTTTATTTTCCTTATTAACTACTTAAATGGAACTAAGTATAAAAATCATCAAACCAGTCCATACCAGCAATTATTCATTAGTTTAAACGTAAACATGAACTGAGCCATTTCATCCGACATTGGTCCATTTCTTATTAACCAGCCAGATCGTACCAAGTTTTATAAAACTGATCGGACCGACCCGTATTGGCCAGTACTTATTAGTCTAGTTGTGATCAGTTCTGAACTATGTAATTTCATCAGGTACTAGTTCATATTGAGTGTACCACTGGTGATGCTTACCATACTAGACATGTTGACAGTCAAGGTTAAGGTTAAGAAGAGGAGAATGAGGAAGAAGAGGAGTACTGGGCAAGTCGACGGCAAGCAGCAGGGAAGTGGGCAGTCATGCGAGATCACATAACTCGGTTGTCGGTTGGGAGAGAAATTCATCATCTAGAGTTGCTCGAATATTGCTTCAATATCAATTATAAAAGTATCAATTGCACCGGAACTATAGCCACTGACATACCACTATGTATAGAGTTGCTCGATTATTTGCTTAATTGATTCACAATTACCACACAGAATGTATCAATAAGAAATGTCATGAGTAATATCATGAATGGGTTCTATGAAACTCCTGTCTTAATGTTCAGAAATAACTAACTCCGAAGCTACCATGGCTTTCCTTTTGGCATTAGGAGGGGGCCCTACTAAGAAGGTGTGGATTGTTCATACATAATTCATGCATCATGGTAATTGTAAGTTTGTAACATGTTTATGGTCTTTTTATGCTTTTCTAGATATGATTTGCAGAGTCATAGAAACATGATTCCTTATTGGCACAAATATGCAGAAGAACAAAGTTTAACATGGTACTCAGCATCAGGACAAAAACAACATCTAAAACCTTGGATAAATCAACTGCTTTTTGCTGGACATCCAATCATCTTAAACACTTCATAAACTAGCATAGCTTGGAGCTCAAGATGCATATATTATTACGTACCAGTGCCATGGCAGTACTTGCATCTCTTCTTTTCTTGTTGCTCAACGTTGTTGGCTTCAAGTAACATCAGGGCTGATATGACACCTACTGCACCACCTGAGAAGGATGCTACAATGGGATCGACCTGACTAAATCGTGGTACAAAAAAAAAAAGCTTTAGTCGAACTTGTTAACAAAATATCCCAGTAAATAATTAAAAAAAAATACCTTAGCTGCAGAGGTAAATGCATGTTACGTATGAAATCCTCATAGGATGTGCCACCAAGTCCTAATTTCAACTCCAGCTAGAGAAAAAAAGGAAAAAAATCACATGAAAAGAGACTCAAAAGAACAAGAGAACGCTTTAGTGGGGATGAACCTTTGCTGCATTAAAGATGTCATCTCTTGAATTTGAACAGATTGCCTATCGCTTCTAAGAATTAACCAAGCACATGGCAAACGCAGGTGGATCTCATAAACACATAAAACTGTCTAAAAGCTCCCAAGAAACATTCAGGAACATTTACAAAGTTCATATAGTGTTGTCAATCGCAAAAAGCAATTAATTCAAAATGGATTATTTAAGTTCTATAAAATTTTTATGAGTAAACAGATGAGCTAATTACGAAGCCAAACTTAGGCAAAACAAACTATACAACATACTTATGCAGGGGCCATTTTATTTCATTTTCTTCGTTGAGATAATTTTATCAATTCTTCAATGCAATAAATTTCTACACAATCTACAAAAATTAAGAGGGAGATAAGGATGTTATGATGCAAAAACCATTTTACTCAATTTATTTTTTGGAATAGGTTATTAATTTGAGAATTTCTTTTCTAGAATATAACAAGTCCCTAAACGAGAAAGTTTTTAAACTTGAGAAGTCTACACCCAACTTTCTACCCAAAGAAAGGAAGGAAACTGAGCTAAAAGAGATTAGATGACTGGATAGAAATGCCTGATCAAAGATGTTTATAATGGCAGGGAACCAATCCCAATCAAGGAACTTGAAAATAAAAATACTATTTCCTAAAGTGAGAATGGAATGTGAATTTTCTCTAAAAATAAAAGATGAGATAATGAATTTCATCGCAACTTGTTTTTTAAAAACTAGGACACCTTTGCCTTTTCTTTTATACTTAATTACAAAAAGAAAACATTTGATCAATGATATAATTGAAATAACCAAAATAACAATATTTTCTTATTATGTACTGTGATGTGTGACCATCTTCTTTCCTTCAAGATTTTGAGTCCCTTGTCCATGCATGAGACACATCTGTTTGAGACACCTTTGCCTTTTCTTTTATACTTAATTACAAAAAGAAAACATTTGATCAATGATATAATTGAAATAACCAAAATAACAATATTTTCTTATTATGTACTGCGATGTGTGACCATATTCTTTCCTTCAAGATTTTGATTCCATTGTCCATGCATGAGACACATCTGTTTGAGACACCTTTGCCTTTTCTTTTATACTTAATTACAAAAAGAAAACATTTGATCAATGATATAATTGAAATAACCAAAATAACAATATTTTCTTATTATGTACTGTGATGTGTGACCATATTCTTTCCTTCAAGATTTTGATTCCATTGTCCATGCATGAGACACATCTGTTTGAGACGAGAACCCCAAGTGCGATGCCTACAAACTAGAGTAAGTCCAGTTACCAACAAAAAATCCTAGGAAAATATTTTTTGCTATACAAGCCTCGCAATCTACAACATCCGATTTAGCAATGAGCTCTTAATTTTGAGTAAGATGTCTTCTCATAGAGGCTGATTCCGCAATCATAAGGCATCAGAAGATCGCTAGTTTCATCAACAGTAGGTCAATGAGAATCATTGGGTCATGTTGTAGGGCTACAGCTAAAAAATTGGATACTTTTTTCTGAACATTCACCAAGAAAAAAGCCATTGGGTACCAATGGTTACCTCCTGTTAGACGGACTATAGCAGCAGACAGATGCATTCTTTAGGATCGTACTGACAGCCATCTATTATACCTAGTGCCAAAGGACGAACTAAGGAAGACAACATCCTTATTCATGTGTTTCAAGATATATACCTTTTTACCGCAATTATAGCTATTGCTGAAGGACCAAACTCTCTCTCTCTCTTTCTCTCTCTTCTTACCCTGCATCTTTCTTAATTATCCTTTTTGACCAAGATGGATCACATATCTACGGTGGATTTCCAAATATTCATCAGGTTTAAAGTAATTAAAAAGTTCTCCCAATCTTCTCCCTCTTTCTCATGTTTATAGAAAGAAAGCAAAGAAAATTAGGTATACCACTTTCTTTCAATACAAGTTTAGGTTCCTGTGTTCCTGATTAACATGTCCAAAAAGATCTGATATATTACTTATACAACAAAATTTCTTATATGCAAACCATATATGTTTCTTCCACATGTGATATAAAAAAATCAAAAGTCTAAAGTTTACATATTTTAAAATATAACACAGTGCAATAAAAAAAATGAGTAGCAACTTTTTCATTGATAAAGAGATATTAAACAAAGTGCCATTAGAAAAATAAAAACATATACAACTTACTGTTGGAGCAAGAAGACCCCCAAAAACAATTATCCCAAATGCAAAGGAGAATGAGGTCAGGTAAAGTTGCCTCAATGTTTTCGGTGTCTGTTTCAGAAGTGAACAAACAGGTTAATAGCCAAAATATATTATAGTGAACGGGAATCATTGTTTTCTCACACCATATGAGGGAGAAATGGAATAGTTGATGGAATGTCAGGCATCTCATTGTCCTCGCAACTGTCACCGCTACATTCTGCACTCTTAATGCGCTGCTGGATCCGCAATCTCCTAACCTTTATTATATAAACACAAATGTTGGAGTTAGAAGACACTGCCCATCTTCCAACAATAGTGGATGCTTTAAGATCATAAATCACCTCTTCCATGAGAAGAAAGATTTTGTTGCGTCGACTCCTAATATTGTGTTGAATTTCTTGCAGCTGCATCTGGACGAAATCTTGGAGTGTCTCAGGGCCTTCTATGATGCAAAAGCTGACAGAATAAAGCACAAATGATCCCAAATACTTTGGTTTCTTTATAAAAACTTTAAACAATAAAATACTAGCAACCTCAAGTCAGTTTATCTTCATGAACTAACTTAATTTCTTTAAGTGTGATCTATAGACATGAAAATGGCACACGGCAAACGAATACCGAGCCTATGAATTGACCCCACTGATCTTGGGGGAAATTTGCCTTCCCATTCAACTCATCCCTCTTGTTTGGAATCAAGTGGCAAGCTCAACGTCCTAGAAAGAGCAACATATCTCTTGAACCCAAAGTGCTTTCGAACATAAAATTGAGAATTGTTTCAAGAATCCAACTTTTGAAGCATATGACTTGTATTCTAAAACTAATCCAACAAACGCTCAAGATCCATCTTTCCCTACATGTCTTTGCCATCGTCATGCACAAAAACTAGTAAGAAGGTGTGCAATTTAATCTAGGGGAAAATGATTTTAAGAGTCCAACCATATATACCAACTGCAGAAGCGAGTCCCAATCGATCCATGTACCTCATCGAATACAGCGTCGAATTAAAACCAACAGAAAATCAAGAATAAAAAGAGAAATCTCCATGCGAACCCTGAATTATCACCGGCATCGCTCGAGTTGTCGCCGGAAGAGGAACAGTGCACGGGGCCGAATCGAGGCGAAGCCACCAGGCGCCGCAGAGGTGGAAGCGATCTCCAGCTATGGCGAGACGTGAAGACAACTATGAGTTTCGAGGTTTGGCGACTCGAACCTGGAGGCGGGTGGAAAGGCGATAGAAGAGCCACCACCGTAGTGGAGGCAGCAGCCATCGATACCTACCTTGGAACCCCACGCACCTCGCCGGCTGGGTTCGAATACCCTTCATAGCGGATCTTTCCATATCGGAGGGAGAAAGTACGTCTGATGCGAAGGACGAACGCGGATCTCGGAGCATCCAAACGCCGCATTCTCGTCGATGGTGTTATGTTGACTACTGTAATGAAAATTGAGCATATGTAAAGTGACTTTTAGACTATTAATGTTGGATTTAGATGATAAGAGTGATAAGTGATTTTAGCTTAATAATTAGACTATTACACTCGATATTTTTTTGACTCTTTTGGTCATTACAAAGCAGGTTGAGATGTTCGAGCTGAGCCGGCCCGACCGCAGCCAGCAATGAGCGCAAAGAACCGTAGTGTTGAGACGGGGTCGCCTTTCGGTTCCGAAGATGAACCCCACCGGAGACCACGCAACACAACCCTTTCTCGTACCAGCGATAACCAGAACACAATAAAGCAGGCAAAACCACAAGGCTGTACCTCACAGCATCTTATCCCTAAGGCTCTCCCTCGACGCATTCCTCATCTTATCCCCTCCCTGCTGCCCTTGCGATGGCAGACGAGAACCCCAATGAGCCGGCGGGTGAGAAGAATGAGGGGCAGCAGCTACGAGGCGTCGATGAGGAGGAGGATGAAAAAAGCGATGGACTGGAAGTAGATGATTCCTCCTCCTCATCATCTTCTTCTGATTATGACTCCGATGACTCGTCTGACGGTTACGGTGGCGGCGGTGGCTACGATTCGGATGAGGAGGAGGAGGAGGAGGAGAAGAAGGACAAAAACGATCCGGAGACCAACTTCCGCAAGTTCTCGGAGGCCCTCGACGGCCGCTACAATCGGAAGCGGGAGGAGGCTGCGGAACGCGCTTACGTGTACCATGAGGACCGCTTCGATTTTCCTCGTGACTCGGAGAAGTGGCGCGAGGAGGACCTGCGCGAGCTGTGGGCTGACGCCCCCGTTGAGATGACCAAGACCGGCTGGGACCCCGCCTGGGCCGACCGCGAGGACTTGGAGGTCGTCCGCAACGAGTTCGAGGCTGGGCACGATCCGCCTATCGCCCCTTTCTATGTGCCTTACCGCAAGTGCTACCCGGCAATTCCTGACAACCACCACGACATCTCTAACCCTAAGTCCGTCGTTGAGGAGCTCGACCGTATCGAGGAGTTCCTCAGATGGGTCAGTTATGTCTTCGAGGACGGTAGCTCGTGAGTGCATCATGCCCTATTCTCCACTATTTCATCTACAATACTTGTTGTTGAATAGCTTTCGATCTTGTTGAGATTCTTACTGAAAATAGTAGATGGGATATTTACATTTCCACAACGGAATGAAGCTTTAAGGGTTTTTCTTACTTGTCATGTTTCCCGATGCTGAGTTTTCCTAGCTCTCTTTAAGAATTTGGGAGATCACTTCCTATCCGGTGCATTTCTTGCTACATCGTATTTCCTGAGCTTTCTATCACAAAAACATCTTTAGGGCTATGTTTATTTTTATTTTTACTTTTTAAATCTTTCTTTTTAGTAAACAAACATGCACAGGAAATCTAATGCTTCAGTCGCTTTTGATGAAGGTATGAAGGAACTGTTTGGGATGACCTCGCTCATGGAAAAGGTGTCTACGTTGCTGAAAGTGGACTTGTCAGGTTTGATTAATTGCTTTGCTTTAGCATAGTCTATGTTTTATCCTTCTGAGGATGCTTATAAGTTCATCATTTCTATAGCGATTCCGTTTTCCTTTACAAGGGTCACACTGTTTTTTGTCGCCTCCAAGTGGACTTGTGCATGATCAATTTTCGCCTCCAACCACATATTTCTGTTTTTTGTATAATATATATCAGTTACCTTTGTTAATAATTTCAGTTAAGTTGCATATCCATTCTCATCGGTGGCTTTTGCTTCTTGTAGGTATGAAGGTGAATGGCTTCAGAATCAAATGGAAGGTCATGGAGTTGTTGAAGTAGACATCCCTGGTGTGGAGCCTATACCAGGTTCAAAGTACGTCTAGATTGATTTTCCTATTAGTGGTAGGATCCATAGTGTACATAATTGTGTTGTATGTCACATAGTCCCAGTTTGTCTTAAAACAGGCTTGAAGCTAAAATGCGAGCAGAAGGTAAAATTATATCACGAGATTTCATGTCTCCTGAAGATAAAAAATGGCTGGAGATGGATATAGAGGATACCTTACTTCTAGCTGGTAGACGAAGAGAAATTCCATTTTATGAGAGAAACGAATGGATAAAGATCTTTGGAGAAAAACCGTAAGTTATCTTTCCTCTTGGTGTATTTTTGGTTACACAACCCATCTTCCTGTCAGATACTCATTTTATGTTTCTTCTAAACAAGGAGACTGTTTCTTGGCATTGCCATTTTCTGATGATCTTCCTTTTCACTCTTTTTCATCATTGTTACCATAGTAAGTTTGTTGGTTTTGGTCATCTTAAGTGGGTATTTTTCTGTTAGTTGATTTGGGTGGGTGCTAGATAAAGCCTCTTTATATTTGTGCTCACTAGTGTCTTGTTCTCGGATGCCTCATCTTGTCATTACAACTGCAGTACTTCTTTTATTTCAGAACTAAAGTTTCTGTGCATCATAAAATTACAAGCCTTTTTGTTTTATTAACATGGACCGATCATTCAATGACATGCTGTCTCTTTCAAGCTTTCATCCGTAGGACAATTTATCTATTATTTTATTTGCTCGTGTCACTTGGCAGAGAAAAAGGTCGATACAGATATGCCGGGCAGTGGAAGCATGGGAGAATGCATGGTTGTGGTGTATATGAAGTCAATGAGCAGATGATATCTGTAGGTGTCAACTTCATATTGAAACTTTAATCACCATTCATTAGCTTCAGTGACCTTTTTCTGAGTAATTTATAGTGCAATTAAAATATTATGATGACTGGTGATTACATTAATGCTACTATTAAGTGCAAAATAATGCCTTAGTATTAAAAGGTAAAATAGACTCTGAAGTCCACTTATTCTCGCCTAGCTAGCTTTTAGTATATTCCTTGATCAACCCTGTGCAGTTTTATATTTTACTGAAATAATTATTATATGCAGGGAAGGTTTTATTTTGGGAAGCATCTAGAGGACTCATCAGGTTGTGAGCATGATGTGTCAGCGGTATTCTCTCATCTGTGTTGTTTTGTTACTGTTTTGTTACTAGTGTCTAACAGACTAGCTTAATACATATGTTGTCTCAGTTACATGCAGGTATTGCTGAAGTAGCTGCTGCAAAAGCGCGGATGTTCGTTAACAAACCTGACGGAAGTAAATATTCGGAAATACTTTCTCCCTATTTCAGAAATTATCATTATTTATTATCATAAGTAAAAGAGCTAAGCTGCTCATTTGCAAATGTAACCTTTTTTCTGGTGATGAAATCCATTATGCTAAACCTGTGTCTTTTGTCAGAATAAAATATTTCTTGCAGTAACAGGTTGCATCTTTGCACCACCTAGTGAAAATATTAGTTCTTCTCATTATGCATATTAGTAATTATGAATTGAATTGTCTTTTCTACGTTTTGTGATTGATTGAATGACACTACGATGATGATGAACTAGTGTTAAAAACAAAATTCATAAATAAAACTAGTTAAATGCTGAAGTCGCTTTTAGACCTGCATCAGATAGAGTTGGAGAGCCAATCCCTCAGAAGAATCGATATTACTCCTCTATTCAAGATCACCTTAGAAGGACAATATAATGTGAGGTCCACCCTTGAGTGGACTATATACTTCATGGGCCACTAAGCCTGAGCCGGTGATGGCCTGGTGATTGATTTTGTCAGATGGTGACCCATGTAGGTTTGGAGGCCTGTGACTCAGCAACTGGGGGGACTCTGATGATGCAACATTAGTCCTACATTGATTAAGAGTTTTGGAGTCAAGACCTCAAGAGAGCAAGGGTTGCTCATGCTTGAGGTGCCTTTTGGAGACCACCCCAAAATGACACTCACCTAGATTGGACAATACCTCGTGGGCCATTGAGTCCGAGTTGGTGATGGCCCGGTGGTGGACTTCATCACTGAATAAACAACGCAATCCCACAATGCAAGTCCATCACATACATTTATATAGTTAGGTATACAAGCCAAAAGAAAAGTCATGTGCTTTAAAAGTTTATCATCTACAGGATTGTCCATCTCATATATGTTATCTGTACGTTCACTTTCCTTGAGTGTCTTCAATAAATTCTCTGCCATTGTACATGTTCTTTCCCTTGGCACATTTTGTCAATAAATCCTTCCCTTTTGGTATCAGCAGAATCAGTGGAAGTAATAAAGATAATTTTCTTATAGGAATTCATCACCAATGATATACTCATTTTCAGATTTATTTACCATTCAAATATGCATATTGAATTTGGAGTATCATGAATTTAAGTAAATGGGTATCTACTTGTCTATCAGAGCACCACAAAATTTAATGTGTGAAACTGTACCAGCCCTTGACATACGATCAACAAATGCTGTCCTTATTGAGACTGTAATGACTTTCATATTGATGCTGCATGGTTGTACCAAATTCCACTTCTAGTTAATCGGCGTTGCTTTATATGTGGGTTGCGCATTGTGAAATCTAGTATTAGAAGTTTAAAATGGTGCAACAAAGCTTATGTGCAAATGTCCAGTTGAGCAGGACATCTTTTTCTTGTATTTAGCTGATGAAAATTCACCTGCTACTCTATGAAAATTGTCTCAAAAGTGATCACTGAGATTAAAGGGTCTATCCCGTTTTGATTTTACTAATATCTTCGTGATGTTGTTGATTGATTTTTTATTGATATATTAAGCTTTACGTTTGCCTCTGACCCTTTTGGTCATTGCATATCTAACTGATGAAATAAGATGACTATCTAGATTAGTGTATGAAGTAAAGAACCACTACCAGGTCATCTATATCGTATGTATAGTACCAGCTGAAGATCTTTAAGTCACTCTTGTTGTAATAGACTATTTCATGAACTAACACTTTTATTGCCTTGTTCTTGCCTTTCCTCACAGTGCTAAGGGAATGGAGAGGTCCTTATGGTGATCCTCAACATCCATACTTCTATGAAGAAGATGATGTGTGGATGGCTCCTGGATTTATCAACCAGTTTTATGATGTAAGTCAAATCTTGGACTCGGCTTTTTCACTTTCAAGTTCAAATATTGTTATTAATTTTCACTGGGTATTGATTTTCTTGGACAGGTTCCAAATTATTGGAAGACTTATGTTCAAGACGTAGATCAGGAAAGAGAGTTGTGGCTGAACTCTTTCTATAAAGCACCTCTAAGGCTTCCAATGCCTGCTGAGCTTGAATATTGGTGGTCTAGAGGTATAATGTCTTTTTCAATTGAGTTGATTGTGCTTGTCAATATGAATGCCACTGATTCGTATCAAGAAGTAAAATCTTGGTCCGACGTGTTGTACTGTGTGTTGGCAGGGTTCCATATTGGTAAGTCAGTGTTCAATTTTGGTCCCTTATTACTCCTAACAGACCCTGTATTTTTTCTTTTGCCCCAGTGATCAATCAAAAATGTTTTTAAAACCTATTATGAACCATATGTCAAAAATACATGTAAGGAACTGCTAAAAATTTACAAAATTATCTTTGATACATGTATTACACTATTACTTATACATCAGAAACTGAGCGTTTATAAAATTCCGATCTGTGTATGTGTACATATATAATATGCTGACATGGGTTTAGACTCGATTGAGCTTTAGTGAACATAAAAATGAATCTAGCTGTATTATGCTTAATCCGGTTCTTCTAGTGCTTCCAACAAACAATTTGGATTAGTTAACTTTTTCTTGGTCAACCTGTAAACTAGTTTTGGATGGCTGATATAGGCTCATGTTTCATCACAACAAAAATAAAGCTTACATCATTCCATTTTTCTCTAGTTTTATTACAAAAATTAAAGAGAGAAACTGTCGCAAAGCTTATACTACAAAATTCCCTTCTTTGTATATGTATATAATATGCAGACATGGATTTATGCTTGATTGAGCTCTATCGAACATAACTGCCAGTATGCTTAATCCTACTTTCTTGTGCTCACGTCAAACATCTTTGGATTATTAAAATGAGGTTTTACGTATACCCTCAGTCTTACCTTCATTTTCATTGTAAACAAATTAACTTATTATTTCAAGGTTTTTCTGTTAGTCAGATTATTTTTCTCTGAACAGATGATGAAGATCCTGAATTCGTTTTAGTCAACAAGGAACCTGAACCTGATCCTGAGGACCCATCAAAACTTGTATACACAGAAGACCCTCTCATTCTTCACACTCGAACTGGGAGATTAATTAATTATGTGGAGGATGAAAAATATGGTGTTCGCCTATTCTGGCAACCAGATTTAGAAGAAGAGGAGGAGGATGTTGATCCTGACAAAGCTCAGTTTTTGCCTCTTGGATTTGATGATTTCTTTGGTCGATCAGCTCCAGTTGTAAAGGAAGGAAAGGTGAGGGGCTTGATAACATTCCTCCAAAATGCTGTGAAGTCACTTTTTGATAGACTTGAGCGTTGGGCTGTGGAGAAAAAGAAATCTGGTGAGATGAATCTTAAGCTTATTGAAAATGAACTTGAGTTCATTGAGGCTGAAATAAGCCTTGAAGAAGCAATAGAAGACCTGGAATTGGAATTGAAAAGGAAACAAGAAGAAGAAGAAGAAAAGCAAGTCGTTGCAGAGATGGATCAAGATGATTCTTCTGCTGCTGCTGTTCAAGATGAGGCAGTTGCAGATGAAACTGAAACTGAAGATGAAGATGAAGATGATGATGAAGAGGCACCAACAAGTTTTGGTACAGTTAATCAAGGAAAAGCAGATGATGATACAAATCCAAAGGAGAGCAAACCTGGGAAATCTCCTTTTTCTTCTCTTTCTTTGTCCTTGTCCTCTCCTGGCCTGTTTTCTCTGGTGAGAAATTGTTATGATATTTTGGTTGTTTAGTTAATAGTTGTTTCTGCCTGTGTTTATGACATCACGCCACAGCTCCTAGTAGTTTTAGTTGTTTAATAGAAACCCTTGACAGGCTCCGAACTATTGAAGTTCCCCTTTGTGTTCTCTTTTGGATTGTAGACCAAGCTAGCTAGATCAGGAAGAAGAAAATAGATAATGCTTTTTTCACAGCAGGATTTACTGTATTTGTCATTTCGGCTTAGGTCTTGCAAATTTTTCTGAAAATTAGGCGTGATTTTTTGCTTATTTTTTCGTTGTTATACATAAGGTAACTACTATTCTCTCTCTCTCTCTCTCTCTCTCTCTCTCTCTCTCTCTCACACACACACACACACACACTCTCTCTCTCTCTCTCTCTTTTTTCTTCTGTGTTAGTTTCTCACGACGAGTTCTCTTTATTTACTTGTTTCAACTTTTTTTCTAGTAATTTAATGCATGCTCACATTCTGAGTGTAGCAGGTTCCAGCACAACTACAAGAGTCCTTTCTTTCATGGAGAAGTAAACGCCCTTCTGGTGCTGAGCAATCTGGTTATCAAAGGCTTGAAGTTATTAGTGTTCAGAAAAGATTTAACCCGGGGAAATTTCATTGTAGAATTAGTCAAAGAGCAAATTTGGGGGTGGTGCAGCAAAGGCAGAGTTACCTTAGAAGAAAAGACTGTTCTTCTCTTTTCTCTTTGGCCTCAATTCTTTCAGCTCAGACTGCTTGCCAGAGCCGAAGGGACCAGACCAAGGAAAGATCGGCTGGAATGAATAATCTCAGCATTTTATCTCTGCACATTCCAGTTACGGATGCTCTTGCTTGATATTACAAGGCATTTCTCCATCACAATCTGATTCTTCCTATCAGAACAAAATTTCAACATTACTGGAATTACATGAACTAGTAATTTCTTGTTCAGATTTTTATTTCAGGAAAATTGAGTTTTGTATGCCCGAATATAACAGTACAGCTGGAGGCTGAGTCCCAATTTTTCTTTGGTAACTTAAAGTTGTGTATTTTCTAGGTTTTTCAGCTGCAGCTGTGAAGCAGAGGGATGCCTTGTTGCTTGGAGTTCTGCTTCTTTAATTTGTTAAGGTAACTTGGATTTTCAAGGTTGGATGTGCTTTATTTTGCTATTTAAATGTGTCACTCTAAAGAAAAGCAAAATGTATCACTCTATTTTGGAATGCTGGATTCGTTGATCGCTTGGTTATTATCTTAAAGCTTCCTGAAGTCATCATAGAATCATGCAGTTCTCCGGAATTCAAAATATCCATACGAACTATAGTGTGTTGAAAATTTCTATGAACATGTTTTTGGAGTTTTTCCGTAGGAACATGTGTGAAATAGATTGTGTTTCAGGTTTTAAATGGTTTCGTATTATTTTTAATTTTGATAAATCGGAATTGGGATTGAAATCATTGATTTTTTAATTACAAATTATATTTATTTTAAAATCATATATCGACGGTTTTGATTCTAAAAAATAAAGAATTATAATAGTGAATTCGTTCTGGTTCAGGAGGATTGACGTGAACTACTACTACTAATTGAGTTTATGTGAATTTTTGCTATCAGTAACGAAGAGCATATGTTAAAAAAAAAAAGATATGCAATCAAAATCAGTTCAATACAAAATCTTTTTATATAAACAAAAAAAAGTTTTGGAAATTTGAAAGAATAACCAAACCAAAACAATTTTGTAAAGAAGTCATTACGAATAAAAATTAGTATAATAAATAATTCAAATTTCATCCGTGTGACAAAAGAGTAGCATTATGAAACGCAAAAATAGATGAAAATCAATTCAAATAAATAACTCAAATTTTTATTTTTTACAACAAAAATTACTGTTATAAAAACTTAAAAAATTAATGGAGTTTTATCACAGTAGTATCTGCATGAGAAGAACTATCCTACTATCTGTAACTTTCGTAAATAACATTTACATATATATTATATTTAATAAAATATTTATAACAAAATCACGCTCATTTTTAGAATGAATGTAATGCAATTAAAATATCGATATATGAAAGCCATTGATTAGTTTAATATAAAAAAGAGTACGATTAAGTTTGTTATCAACTTCAACTTAAATATTTTAATAAGTAGTTTTCGTCAAACAAAGATAATTAGCATATTAGACATGGATTGTGAATAAAATCAAAAGATTTATTATGACGTAAAGTCAATATATTATTATCAATTTTAACTTAAATATTTGATTAATGATTCAGATCAAACAAAATTAATGAATCAGTTAACTGATAAGTTGTGATAATAAATGATTATAATTGATGTTTCATTTCAACATAGACTCCGATTAATACAACATTCCTTGTTATATATTCTAATACAACAATTTTTATGTTTTTTCTTATTGTAGGTTACATAAAAAATAGACTAAACATAAATTTTATTAAATAAAAAAAATATATTTATATTATGCTTTTGCCTTGTACTCGAAACATTTGTTTCAATGACATGTTCTTTATTACCATTATACAAAAAAGTCAAAACTTAATTTTTTTTTTTTGGGATAAATTGTCCGAAGTAAATCATCACAAAAGAAGAAAAATAAAAAAAGGCAACCCCACAACATTAACTCTCAATCTTCCTTTGAAAAGAGACTGAAAAATAAGAGATGCAAATGACCTGCTGCGGTTATCATTTGAAGTTGCAGCACCACTCGGTGACCACAACTGCGAACCCCCCCCACTCCGTTTCTTGCTTTGTATTTATAGCAACTGCCCCGAAGACCGCCTTTAAATCCCCTCCAGAAAAGGCCAAGCCCATACCACGCCTACCTCTCTCTCTCTCTACTCCACCCGAAGACCAAGCCAGTGAGAGCGAGGAGGCACGCCACGGAGAAGCCGTCTTCCCCAGGAAAGCCCCATCTCCGCGAGAAAAGGAGAGAGGAAAACCCTAACCCTCAAGTGCCCCGCGACCCCCGCGGATGGCCTCGTCGAGAGTGATGCCGTCGTCCTCGTCGGCGGCCAACTCGGATCTTGCGCGCCAGCCACCCTCCATGTACCCGCTCGCCGCCGCCGCCGATCCCCCTCCCAGCTCCGCCAGCGGCGACGACCCTGCCGGGAACCTCGGCTCCACCGCCATGGACGACCTTCTCCGGAGCTTCTATTGCGAGGCTGAGGCACCACCGCCGCTTCCCGCCAGGGAAGCCGCCGCTGGCGGCAAGATGGCGGAGCAGGTGCTTAAGGAGGTCGCTGCCGCCGGACGGAGCGTCGCCGGCGTTGATGGATCGGCGGCCGCGGGGTATGGGGAGATGACGTTGGAGGACTTCCTGGCTCGGGCGGGGGCGGTGAGGGAGGGGGACATTAGGGTTCCGTCGTCGGGGTCGATGCAAGCGGGATTTGGCGTGGATCCTGTGTTGGACGACCGGCTTGTGCAGCAGGAGCAACTGCTGATGGTGGAGAACCCGATTCTAGGGTTTGGGAATGGGGTGGAGGGTGGTGGGTCTGGTGGAGTTGGGGGAGGAGGGAGAGGGTGGAAGAGGCCTATGGTTGATTCTGTTGATAAGGCTACGCTGCAGAGGCAAAAGAGGATGATCAAGAACAGAGAGTCGGCTGCCAGGTCAAGGGAGAGGAAACAGGTCTGGAAAAAAAAAAATTTCCGGGTTAATTGACTAATAAGACCGCCAATTTTGGGGTTAGCAAAATAAGTTCTGCGGTCGTCTTCAAATTTTTGCAGGCTTACACTGTAGAACTTGAATCCTTAGTAAGGCGCCTGGAGGTGGAAAATGCTAGTCTTCTGAGAGAGCAGGTATTGATTTGGTTGGTTGTCAGCACACTTAGGATGGAAGCACTTGCTTTGTGATAATGTGATGTCTTTCTAGGTCTAGATTTGATGGGTCAGATATTTTGAATGATTTTTTTTGTTATCTGAACATATTGATTATGCATGATATTTGGATGTGATTTCATATCGCTGCAATAACATCAGCTTGTCTGTAAATGGATTTTAGCCATGGAACATTCAGGTATCTGTCGTGGTTTTTGAGATGAAATGTTCAGGAGGAAAACCTGTCTGGTGCTATGAACTTTTGTGCCAAGAAATTGAACTTTCAGTAAACAAAGAGCCTCCTAGGGCATGAGGATATGATGTTTGCTGCTCGTTAGACTTAATCGCATACTATATCTTGCTATTTTAGCATTCGACTCTTCTGTAATTTTAGGATCTAATCCTTTCTTCTCTTTCAGGAGGAGCACTACAAGATGAGGCTTAAGCAGGTAAGCAGCATATTGTCAGACCTCTTATCATCATGTTTTAGACACCGTCGACAAAGATGAATTAATTTAATTTCTTTTCACAGACCTTGGAGAAACTAGTTTTGCACATTTTATGGTGTCACTTATATATTGCATGTCTTTTGTCTGAATTTTTCTTCATATACCTTTTTAGCATCTCTATGTTTCCTCATTCATGTTGGCTAACACATGTTTGCCAAAACATGTACATGCTGATAAACACAGGGTCGTGACTAGGATCTTGTACTCTGATAGTTCTTTAATAAACTATGTATCCATGGTTCTTTGATAAGCAAGCTTACAGATCTTTGTTAATTAAGCTTCATGAAATGGAACATTATGTTTATAATATGAGTGTATAAAATAACAAATAAATCAATACCATCATATTCAAGGCTATAGGAGTTTTTAGGTACAAAAATTTTAATTCCAATGCATTGTGTTGGACTTTAGCAGAAAATGATTACACTATTAAAATATGAACAACATATGCATAGAAGATTTTCCAATAGGCTTGATATTGTGATGTTACCCATACAACTGAGAAGGTCAAATAGTTTAGACATTTTACCACATGACATTTATCATTTGGTTCCTTGAAGTAATTTTGAGAGAGACCATAGGACCACTTTCTTCTAAATATATGTCTATATGAGAGTATGCCTTAAGCCATTGGTGAGATAATACATGAATTCTGTAAGGCCAGAGGTCGAGAGAAAATTAACAACCATTTGGTTGAGGGAATATTTATGAAGACTTCAGTAACGCTAGAAGTGGAGAGAAGATGGAAACTTATTTCCATAGAGGTCTTGTATTAGCAATTGTTGATTGATGTCCCTCTATGTAATGTCGTTGATTCGAAGACATGATTGCACATAGTTGAAGCAAATTTATTTAATCCCACAATAAAGTGTTAGGTTTACATCTAGGATTTGAATTTTATTCTCATTGACTTCGCAATCAATATTTTATTTTTTTCATTTTGGATAGTTCTCATCACTATTTCTTGGTAGTACTATGACAAATGTTTGGTTGTAAGATTCTTAAATAATTGGGAACTCAAGTTTGATAATTAATTTAAGTCTTGTCTCTTGAGTTTTACTTGCTCATAATCCTAGTTTAAGATTATGATTTTGATAAAGTTTATAGATAAAAAGATTGTCATTACAGAAAAAAGAGAGAGATGGTAGGAACATGATTTAGTTTCTTAAGTCTCTGTGTACATGGATCTTTTTTATGCCATTACAGCAATATCATTAGCCAAAATAAATAAGTAAATTTCTTTTTATTATATCTATTTAAATTTCTAATAGGGTTTTCACCACTAATTTTCATTTATTCACTCGTCTAACTAAGGGATATATAAGTCTATTTTTAGACATAATTATACCATTTTAAATGAGTTTCCTTCATCTTATTTTCTATTATGCTACACTTATTTGTCCCCATATGATGTATATATGTCTAACTGAATAGTTGATCCTAATTGCATATTTCATTGAATCCTAGAGACACTCTTGAGCTTTTAAACACCCTCTTGTACAATTTAGTTTAAGTTGATTGTTGAATGTTCTTTCAAGGTGATGCACTAATTGAGACGAACCAATAAAAGGCTTTAAGTGTCATGACCTAGGCTTGATGGGCTAATTGACCCATCAATTTCGTTTGACTCAAACTACTAGTCAAAATATTTAAGCTGAAGTGTATAATAATTCACTTATCAGACCTTTATAAGTCAATCTTAGTTTTTGTGCACTTTCGATGTTGGGACTAATCGGGGTATTACGATTTCCCCCACTTAAGGTCTTGATGTCCTTGTTAAGCCCAGCATAGCCTAGATTAAACCCTAGCATGGTGCATGTGAGGCATACCCCAGTGGTGGCTTTACACCGTGATGAGTCTTTTGATTTCATCCACGAGTACTCCTCTTCTACTCGAGCCCTCTCACCATGTCTAAATACTAGGTCAGCTCTGATACCAAATGTCACGACCTGAGACTGATAATCTAATTGGCCTATTAGTTTCGTTTGTCCTATGCCATTATCCAAAATGCTTAAGCTAAAGTTAATAGTAGTACACTCATCAGACTTTTATAAGTCAACCTTAGTGTTGCCCACATCTGATGTGGGACTAATCAGGGGTATTATAATCTCTCATATTTAAGGCTTGACACCCTCATCAAGGCCCAACATAGCCCAGATCAAACCCTAGCATGGTGCATGTGAGCCGTAGTTCAGTGGTGGTTCCATGTTGTGACGAGTCTTATGACTTCACCCGCCAGTAGCCTTTTCCTACTCGAGCCCTCTCACCACACCCAAATACTAGGTCGGCTCTGATACCAAGTGTCAAGACCCGGGTTGGATGAGCTAGGTGGCATATTAATTTCGTTTGACCTAAACCACTAGCCTAAATGCTTAAGCTGAAGTTGATAGTTGTACACTCATTAGACTAAGATTGGATAGTGGTTTGGGCCAAATATCACTACCTAGGCTTGATGAGCTAATTGGCCTATGAAGCTCGGGTCGTGATATTTGGTATCAGAGTCAAGTTATTATTTAGGCATGGTGAGGAAGCTCGAGTAGGAAATGCTACTTGTAGATGGAGTCAGAGGACTCGTCACGGTGTGATCGGCTATGCCTCACATGCACCATGTTAGGGTCTGATCTAGGCTATGCTGGCCTTGACGATACTGGCAAGTTCTTGAGTGAGGGAGATTGTAACACCCTCGATTAGTCCCACATCAAAAGTGGGCAACACTAAGATTGACTTATAAGAGTCTGATAAGGGTATTACTATCATTTTCAGCCTAAGCATTTTGACCAGTGGTTTGGACCAAATGAAGTTAATATACCAATTAACCCATCAGGCCTAGGTCGTGACATTAAGTATTGTGCTTATGGTATTCTCTAGTTAAGATTTTCACTTTTGGCAAATGCTGTTAAAGTTGAAGTGCTCCCAGATGTAATTATAGGTCACTTCCACATCTTACATGGATTTTCTGTTCTTCGAGTCTCAAACATATGGTGCATGATCATTCACATTGGTTTTCCATATATAAATTATGCTAATTTATATAAAGTTGAAGTGCTCCCAGATGTAATTATAGGTCACTTCCACATCTTACATGGTTTTTCTGTTCTTCGAGTCTCAAACATACTGTGCATGATCATTCACAGTTTATCATCCATGGAAACTGTCTTATCAAGATGGAATAGAGGAACTTCTGCTGAATTTGCTTGCTAATTTGTGCTCATCAGTAGGGTGTAGGCTTAAAAGCAAAATAATTGTGGCATGTTAAAATTAATTTTTGTTCATGTAATGCTTTTAACTGTCTGGACCCACATACTGTGATCTTAGTTGGTGGAGGCAGCTGTTTCATTGACCATGTAAGAAGACACTCAAGTCCATATAATATTATGGATTTACATCTATATTTTGTTGTACATTTATTTTTTTAAATATTATATTATATGCTGCATTTTATATTATATAGTACTTATGCTACTGTTTATTATCTATGCTTTTATATTTTATTTTATTTTTGTATTATTTAATTTTTTATATTTAATATTTATATTTTAATATCAATAGCTGTTTGTGTTATATTATTTGATATCTACATTATGTTATATTATATTATATTATTTTATCTTCATGACATATTGTAATGTATATATATTTTTTTATGGTTATGTTATTGTACATTTATATTAGTTTAAATGGAAATTATTTTATGTTGGAAAGAAGGCCATAGGTAGGAAGTCATTCATTGTCAAACAAAATAAAATATCTAGGAATCACTATTAATTCCTTAGGGAGAGTTGGGAATTAGATTCTTGGTTCTAAGAATAAGTTGATTCCATTTCACAATTGGGATGAGAACGAAAATACCTGAAATCAAACATGGGAATCAATGATTGTTATTCCCAATCCTATACACTTTCTATGTTATCAAATTAATTCTTAATCATTTCCACCTACATCAATAGTGGCCACACGAATAGTTTTTAAGATTATTTCCAAACTCTATGCTCTGGTATTTAGACATACATTATTTCTTTATGGTTCCAAGCCTCATGGCATTCGAGAGATGTGATACTCTTGACTACGTTAGTCAAGTGAATAAGCTCCTGAAAGCATCAGGGACTCTATTCCTTCATTTGTTTGTAAACTCCACATTTGATCAGATTTATCGGAGGTATTGAATATTTTTGAACATTTTTACAAGAGTTGATAGATACTATGATTATTTAGGTTTAACCTGTATTTGCGACCTTTGCAGCTTATGGAGAATCTAATCCCGGTAACCGAGATGAAAAAACCTCCACGCATTCTTCGGAGAACGCATTCCATGCAGTGGTAGGGAGAGGGAGAAGCTCTTGAAGGAATCATTTGTCCGAAGTGAGCCTCTTGCTTCCGAGGCGGAGGAAGGTTACTGACAGGATGAAACCAAACCTCGATGAACCTGTCTGCTGCCATGAGAGGTCTTTGCTTTATCACTGTCTCAGAGGTAATTACTAAATTGTATAGAGAGAATTTGCAAGAGAGAGAAGAGGTGTTGTTCTTAATGCCCTGGAGAAAGAAAGAAAAAAAAAAGAAGAGAAATCGTAATTTACTTTTCAGTGACCACTTTCTGTTATTTAACTAAGCAGGCAAGCATTTCACCGCTTACACATATTAGTGGCTTTTCATCCATTATTACGTTATTACCTCGTTTGTTCATCTTCCGAAATGGTCTTACAACTTGGTGAAGTTAAGTTGTCATAGACACTTTGAACGTACCCTTTCCGATAGATTGTTGCAATTTTTCCGATCATATCATCGTTGATGCATCATCATCATCATTCAGTGAAAGATCATGTGCCAAGTTACCCGTTCTTGTAGAATAAGGCAACCCACTCGTGCCTCGATTGCTGCGGTTCGGATTACAGACTCACGAGCCAGGGCACGACTGTAAGTACGTTTGATCAGATGGCCAAGTTTGATCAGAATTACAATTATTAGTCTGTATCAGTTGATCACTGACTATAAGTACGTTACTGTAGAATTGTTCACATCTCATATTCTCACCCGACTAGCGACGGTGACAATGAACGGCCTTTGCGTGTCGTGTTTGGAGCCCATAAACGGCCCATTCCCTCAAGCCCTAGATTGTAGGACTCTTACTCGACGTATGCTTCCGGCACGTCGACGGGAGACAGGGAGCCTCGCCTCCGCCGGAAGACGATGCTTCGTTCCTCTCTCGCTGCCCTCAAGGGATGGAACTCCTCCTTCCTCCTCACTCCCCGGTCGCCACCGTCCCGTCGATGCTTTCGATCGGAAGCCGCGCTGGACGCCCTCCGTTCCCATTCTAGAACCGTTACCGCCGCCGCCCGCTCCCACCTCGTTCTGTACAACTACCCCTCCTTCTCCGGTGCCTTCGCCGCCCTGTTCGCCCACCTTTTCCACTCTCACCTCGGCCTCCCCTTCCTCGTCTTGCCCTTCTCCTCCGTCGAGCCTTTCAGGTAGGTGATCCCTCTGCCATTATCCTGCCACCTGCTCCTCTTTCCTCATTTTTTCTTTGCGTTGTGTCTTGATCTCGAACGGCATTGTCCTTCCAAGGGCGGAAGACTTCGAAACCGGAGCTTTCGAAACGTGCTACCTTCTCGATTTCATCGGTCCAAAACTCTTCTCGGTGGAGATGTCGCGGATAATTCCTAGGTAAAGGAGAAGGGAGGAAGAAAAAGGAATTTTGTTGCTCTTGCAATTAATTTTCCTTTCTTTTTGGTTTTGCCTTCAGTGCATATTGTAAATCTAGAATCTAAAATGGGCAATCTCGAACGATTTCAGAGTGATAGCTTTTGATCACCGAGAGAATACTTTGAGAAGGATTTCAAGAATAGGAGAATGCTTGGATAATCTGGAGCTCCGCATCGACACCAAGAAGAGCAGTGCTCTTGCTGTCTATGATTTCTTCTCGGAGAAGCTCTTTCAAATGAAGTCCTCGCAGGTTACGCGAAGAGTAAAATTTTCTTATCTCTGTACGTTATTATCTACTTGAACCTATTGAAAGTCACTGTGTTCACTTTGAGTTTAAAGGTTATACAGGAATTCCGTTATGTGATCAACCTTTTGGATGTGTGCATATTTATTGGCTGAACTATATTTATCATTGTTAGATGTCAGATGTATAGCTGATTAAAACAATCACAACTTATAGCTTCTCACTGGACCAATGAAACAGGTTGAGATTGCAAACTTATTGAACCAAGAGGATGCAGAACGTGTTGCAACTGTTCTAAGACATGTAGAAGATGTGGATCTTCACCAGTGGAGGATGCCTGATATCAAGGCATTCAACATTGGACTTAGGGATGAGCGTGCAAAGCTGAATTGTATCACCAATCCTTTTATGTTTGAGCAGGTCTGTTTTCTAATGTCAACATTATTATACTGTATCCACGTTTTTTTTATGACAGCAACTTCTATGTTAAAGCATAAATTATGATCTCCTTATCAATCAGCTCTTGCAAATCGATGCTAGTGTTTTGATTGCCAAGGGAAATTCTTATACTCGTTCCCGTGAGGATGCAGCAAAGAAGTTGCTGGGAAAGGCTTTTAAAATCCAACTGGGAAGAGGATTATATGGCAAGTGCCTGGTATGACTTTTTTAATTTTTCTTTTACATTTTCTGGAAAACTTCTTCTCTCATCAGATTCTTTTGGCCGCTTGAATTTAGATTCTTCTATCATTTTAGGTAGGTTGCAATTTATAGTTTTATGTGAATTACAACCTGTAGTACTTGTTTTATCCGTTATTATTTTGATCAAATGACACTCATGATAAGAAATAAAAGGACTGCATGTCGCAGTAACTTAAACAAGCCTGCCTTGTTTGAGTAATACTAACTGAAATAGAAGATTTTTTAACTCCATATGAATCAATGAATTTGATTGAATTGGTCTAGAAGTGTATATTCATCTTATTGTTCTTAATATAATTGTGATATGCAACTGTTGACTCTTTATATCTCATTCCTGCAAGGTGCAATTTTTTTTTTCCAGTTTGATACTTTTCCAATCACAGAAACAGTCTTTTTAAATATTTAAAGGTAAGGCTGCACACATTGACCCTTCCCAGATCCCGCATTGGAAGCCTCGTGCACTAAGTATGCGCTTTTTAATTTAATACTATTTCACCTTGTTCAGTATAGAGATTATAAATATTAGGATTTACCTGTTTGGTTCAAGCTTGATTTCTCCATGAAATTCCAAGTGGAAATTCAAGTTCCAACCAAAACACCATTTTGTATTTGGATACTTGTTTGATGCACCAACCAGAGATTTTTTATCTACTGTCAAATTCATTGCATCAAGTTGTGAAAATTCTACTTATGGATGATGCATTCTTAGTGATAGTTGTTTGTACTATTTAAGTGTTAATGTTACCATTATGCATGATCTGAACGCAACCATTAACCTAAATGACATAGAATTATTTGTGATCTGTGGCATGTGCATTACGTGAAGTTTTGTGAAATATTCTTGTCAAACCTTTTTTTATTTTGCCTTGAACTTTGATCACTTTAGTGCATAAATTACGTGAAGCAGTCCACAAATGTTATCAACACGCTGGATATAACTAGTGTCATGCCAAATCATCATAAACTTTTAGGGAATTTTCCTTCCTACTCTATTTAATAGTTTACTTCTTTGCTAATGCTAGGCTGTCAGGGCTGATGGAAATTCAGATCTAAGCCATGAAATTGGTGTTGAGCTTAGTAGAAGAAGTGCAGCGGCTGGTTTGAGGTAAAATAACTACTCCTATCAGTGCATTTTGATTAACAATTTCACTTAGTCTTTGACGACACTGATTGGATAATAGCTTGGAAGTTATTTTATGTGAATTAATCTGAAGGAGAATGCATGTTTCTTTGCCTGGCTTACCTCATTGGCCATGTCTTTGATGGGTTTTATTGACAAATTCATGATATTTGAAGTCAAAGATTCTTTTAAACTAATAAAAATTGAACTTATCTACATTTATGATGACAATTGAATAGTCTGTTAAATACATGGAAAGAACTGATTAGAATTATTTGTACCTTCAGGCCTATAGGGGCAGTTGTGTTCATGCAACGGTGTAATTTGAAGATGTGTTTGAGGAGCACAGACTGTGGCACTGATACTTCAGAGATTGCAAAGGTATGTATAGTACACTGGCATTTTATCTTTTTTTATATATTTTGAAAATGAGATGCTTTCTTAGACCTGCCTTGTCATGCATTTGAAAATTGCAGGCATTTGGTGGAGGTGGCAACCAGAGTTCAAGTTCCTTCATCATAAGAATGGATGAATATAACCGTTGGATCTCAGCAAATTGATTATAGATCCATGAAGGTAAATCAGGTTTATCCTTCTTTTAACTAAATAATGTTCATTTTTGTGCCGGAAGGCGTTCATTTTATTGTGTCCTCTTACTCCATAAAATACTTTAAGTTACACTAGGGCCAAAATCCTTTTTACATTAAGCTAGTCCCAGAAGCTTCATCAATGCAACAAATGAGATCTTCCTGTCAAATGGATCAAGCCTTGACATCTGGTATTAAATGGAGTGGTGCATGTTAATATACAATGTTGCCTTTTTCTCCCAGAAAGAACCTGATAGAAGCTCCTTAATTCTGTTAGGACAAAACTAGAGTTCAATGTATAAGAAACAAAAAGTACTTAATGCGAAGTAAGATATGCAAGGACAAGTAGTGATAACAAAGAAGGTGCCTTTGCAGCAACATGTTTAACTATGACAATGAACCAATCCGTGAGGTATCAAAAAATCTCAAGCATCTTTTACTTAAGCATAGTTTGTATGTTTAGAAGCTGGAATTGTCATAATGTTTGTTACTGGAGTTCTTCTTCATTTGATTTAGTGGGATAAATATAGACCAACCAGAGAGAAGTAGAACCATAGACAATCTTTCCTAGAATCTTTAAGGAAGAGCTGAAAATAACCAAAACTCTGACCAAAAAAAAAGTAGAGTTCATATTCTGTCAGGCCTTCTACAACAATTATTAGTCAACTAATAGTTGAATGCCAATTCAACTGTCATAGTCTTGGGCCATTTGGAGGATAGTTCATGCTTTACTCATGCAAGGACACCATTTGTTTGGACAAACGCAACGAGAAGAATATATGTCATATATTTTTCCCCTTTTTTTGTTCCGGCAGCACAGTGTTGGCTTATCTTCATCTATTTGTTTCTTCATTGCTTTTATGTTTTATCGCAGATCCATTGTACAACTTGATCTTGATAGTGTCTATGCTTGATGAATGGGTGAGATACTAATTTTTTTTTTAATTTGAAAAATGTAGAATTTAAAAATTGTCCCCAATTTGTAGTTCAAGTTCTGTCGGAATTCTGCTATTCAGCACCCACTTTCATTCAAATTTGTATATTCTGTTCCAGATCTGCAACAAATATGCACCAAATCCACATGTTTTTTGAGTTATCGTGATGAAGCATCAAAGGAACTCGGCCAAAACTTCAAGATGATCTCTGTTGCCTCGAGGAGAAAGCTTTTGCTCAGTACAGCTAGGTCATCCAGTAGGTTCAATGGCATGAGCTGTCAGCCCTCCTCCACTCTTCATTCTCCCTTAGTAACACCATAACATTATACTTCCACTGATGCAGCATCAATTTACTGTCTCTCTGTTGAAATTTTAGGAGCAGATGACGTCCCAAGAGCACTGAGATTTAGTTGGTTGTATAGGACATGTATACCTTGCGGGTTTTAGATATATATTTAGTAGGTAGTAGTACCAGCCTCACGTGGGTTTTATAGGGCTGCGTTTTCTTTTAATTACCAGTGGAGATACTAAACCATAATGATTTTTCTCAAATTTCCTATATAAATGTCTTATTAATAAGACTGGGATTCAAGTTCCTGCTTTAATAATTGATGAGATTTGACTGTAAACAAAGATTTCCATCACTTTGTTGTCAAAGGTAATATGAACTATCATGATCTTGATGTCACTGTAGATTTAGACATTGATGCATGAGCCTCTATTTTATTTTATATTTTTATAATTTCTAGCCAATATGCTTCGCCAATACAAATGTGCGATTGTTCCCAACATTCATTTGTGAAAGATTTGCACCCTATGAATATTTATTTTTCAACACTACATATCATACGGCCAAGATCTTGCACCAGTCACCAATTTGTAGCCAATGTTGTAGAAAATTTTAAGACCATTAATTTAAGCAAAAGATTTAAATACTACCATATAGCATCATTAACATCAATTTATTTACCATTGTTGTAATAATATGTTGGGATAAATATCCTTATTTTTCTATTTTTAATCGTTTAGATAACTAGAAAAAAAAAATTGATTTGCAACTATCTAGAAACAATAACAGTATAATGCATGTAAATTTTATCCTATCAGTTCTGGAATCTATCTATTCACCCAAGTTTCTATAATTTGTACTGGTACTTCCTAACTCAATTATCATCATGAGCAGGATCATGTATCTGTGGGTAGGGAAAGATAGGGTTTGCTACCATCATCTAAGACGCCACTTTCCAAATCTACGATCGTATCAATCATATTTGATCTGTAGATCTCGGAATCCTTGCCGTCGACCTTCTACCCAGTGATTCCACGGACAACTGTTGATAGATCTACATCGGTGCTAGGTGCTGTTCGCCTGGTTGGACTCATCCAGGGTTCAGGAAGTCATCGTCAAATCGACAGCGTCCCACTCTCCCAACTAGTGTTATGCGAAGTCAGGAAAGCCTCACCGTCCAATGCACACGCGTCATGTATAAAGAACTACAGAAGTGCCACGTACTTAGAGTCTGCATCCATAAAAGCACAAGTGACGCGGTGGCTTCTTCTTGTTGGTCAGATCTTGGCGTGCATGGTGTGCGCGCACACGTGAACTCGCCTCACCTTCCGTCCGTCTCACGGGCAAAAGTGGAAGCGGCCCGCTGTCTCCGTCTCTTTCCTCCCCTGATCACGCCCAAAACCCTAGTTTTCTTCGGTGGTGGAATTAAGAAGAAACCCTCGATCCGCGTCGAGAACTCTCCATCCACCGGTCTTCTAAAAGGACACGATCCATTTCCTTGCCTCTTGGTTGTATTCCTGGGAGTAGGAAAAGGATCGGGTGGACTCAGATGAGAATTAGGCTGGTTTCCTCTCGCAAATCGTAGTTCTCGGGTGCAGGGATGCTAGTCCTGAGGCCGATCACGGTCGCCGGTCACATATGTTTCGGCGGATGAGATACCTCATCGGCCTGAACCCGAAGACCCCACCCACGAAGAGATTGCTCGATGCGAGGCCGCGGCGAGTTAAGTTCCAGCCGCCAGACATGCTAGAGACAGTCCACGAGATCGCCATCTACATTCATCGGTTCCATAACCTCGATCTCTTTCAGCAAGGGTAATGCTTTAAATTCTACTCCTTTTCCGTTTAATTTCATTGCGTGAGGAGAATTGTGAGCTTTTCAATCTGGACTTTTGGAAATACCTAATTTTGTTCTGGTTGGTTAAGCAGATGGTACCAGATAAAGATAAGTGCGCGGTGGGAAGACAGCAGCCTGCATTCTTGCGGTACTCCGTCCAGAGTTATTCAGTATGAAGGTACTTGTTTTAGATGCTCCGAGCAATGTTGTTGGTTTTCTAGATGCTACTTGAGTAGTCTCTTGATAGTGATGGTCGGTTTCGTCTTGTTGGTAGAAGTAGAACCAATATGATGCTTCATGTGGTTATGAGCGTAAATCTTGTTGTAGTATCTTCTAACAAGTTGGGTTGGTCAGCCGTTTGCATACATTTTTAGATAACGAGAAGTTGTGCCCAAATTTCAAGATCGAAACTTAAAAAATTGAAGTAATTAAATGTTTGATATATTGTGTGTGCCACTAATTGCGATAGTAGGCTGCTTAGGTCTTTGACAAGTATTGTTGTGTTGGCTATTGAACAGTAAAATTGCAGTTGTCATTATTATATCTGCTTATGAAGCAGATCCAACTGTACTGGATTTACATAAATCTTGGTCAGATATAAGTGGATCCGACTTAGAATCAAGTAGAACTATGCTAAATTTTCATAAATCCAGCCTCATTTCAACATGAAATTGGAAAATGCTTATCCATGGATCTATAAAGAGAGCCAAAATCCAAACATGGAATCATGACCTTAAGGTGAAGAAAGTTCCAGCACAATGCATTAATCAACAAAACTAAGTATAAAATTTGATTTGAGCTTCAGGTTTACGTTTCATTTGTGAAACACAGGGATGATTTCTTGAAACTTAAGCTTTATTTTCTTGTAATCAAAGTTATACTTGTAAAACACGAAGATTTGCATGTGAGAATGTAAGAGATTGAGAAGTTAGAGCAAATGAAAGAATGGAAAGGAGAGGGTATTGGATGATAAGAGTGGGAAAAAGGGATGGGAGTGTACTGGGATTTTTGGGTAGGTGGATTTCCTGTATAGCCTGGTACACTCAGAATGGTAAGCATACCAAGTGGTAAGTCATGTTCTTAACCAATTCAATAAAATTGTGTTTCAGTCCTTGAATAGGTAAAGATATTGCTTTGTACGGATCGACATGGTTAGTATTTCAGTCTTTGTCCCATAGTTTAATTTTAATAAATAAGAAACTTAGAAGTCTCTCCAGGATCTATATGTTATCTTAGAAATAGTTCTACTTATGACTCTGAAATCTAAATGCTTCCTATATAATTATCACTTAAATCAACTCAATTTTAAAGAAGAATAGGTAAAAAAATTCAAAGATTCATGTATGTCACAGTTCCCTTAGTTCGGCATTTTCGACTTATAGTAGAACCAACTTCCAAATCACTTCTAGGTTGGGATTTTAGTGGGTTAGCAACCATTTGACTACAACACAAATAGGTGGGTTTCAGGCATTGTTGCTGTTAGACATCTTTTGCACTTTAGTTCTATTTGTTGTCATATTAGTGGATCATTTAAATATCTTGCCTACTATATGCATAATCTTGTAATGTTTTACGCATATTTAACTCCAGAAAAGCTAATGGATTGTTTTCATGCATGATGTTTTTTGTATCATGTGTATTGACATTTTAGGTAAATTGTACAGCTCCCAACACAGTCTCAGATGACCTTTTGGGTGTTTGGAGAATTGATGATGCTGATCATAGTTTCTCTACCCAGCCATTCAAAATTAAATATGCTAGGCAGGATGTTCCTTTATCTGTTATGGTATCTTTCAATTTTGCCATAGGGAAGGATGAGGTTGGCATCACTCTTAACCTGTTGCTTGAAGTAATATTTATTTCCCAGATAATGACACCTTTGCACTTTTATTGCCAGAAACCATTAATATCTGCAGTTATACTAAAGTTTGAGCTCATGTATGCTCCAATTTTGGAAAATGGGTAAGCCAAAATTGTGATCATAGTTTATGAGCTTTGTGCTTGTTAGCTACTTGTTTTTATCCATGGTTAATTCATAGTGCTTATCATTGTTTCCAATGACAATTTAAATCTCTTATTTTTCTTCCTACAGCCATGAAATTCAGGCCTCTTTTGATATGATTCCAGTTGCTGTCCATGAATTCAAGATCCCTCCAAGAGCACTCTTTGGTCTGCATTCATACTGTCCTGTTCATTTTGATGCTTTCCATGCAGTGCTTGTTGATTTAAGTGTACACATTGTTTACCTGAAAGCTGGTGCTAGCACCCAAGAGAAGCTATCAAGGTTTGTGAAAGTTACTGTTTCATATTTACTAAAGTTTACTGCTATATTCTGTGTTATAATTTTGAATTTTGATGTATTGTAGTGCTTCTGTGACAATGGAACATATTTCTGATGAATACCATGAAGAACACAACCATGTAAGTATCCTTTGACTCAAGAAATTGCAAGTCTCTTGGTGTTATCTTTTATCTGGGATTTTCTCTTGGATTATGTGCAAGTTTCTTCTGAGGTTCTTGTAACCATTGATGATGATGTAAGATATATGAAAGGAGTAATCAGTTTCGCCATCAGAGAGAGATGCATATTTTTTTTGGTGTAGTATTTTCTTGCAACATCAGTATGGTAGTTATATAAAAAATGCAAGGAACTAAGCTATTTTGATGCTTTTGGAATCCTATATAGAGAAGTATTAAAGAAACCATAGTGAGGGAAGTATTAAAGAAAAATGAGACTATTTATCTAAAGTCCATCAGCTTCTTTATGTAGAAGCTAAAGAAGCCCCATTATTTAGCATCGGGTATGCTGATCTTTTACTGCATGTTTGCTATATTGTGGACCATAGTATCTGTCATGCAATTTTTTTACAAATTTAAAGTTTAAGTGGCACATCCATGTTTGCTAAAATATCTTGATACAGTGATACCTAATTATTCATCCAAGTAAATATGTTCCTAACATGTTGAAGGTTTTCTTCTCCAACTGTTGAGTTGCTACAGTGGATATCATATCAAGCAAATGTTGGTGCATTGATCTTAAACTATAGAAGGTTAAGATGGATGGTTCTGTCAAAGGATGAATTTAGCATTATCTTGTATCTCTTTTTTTACTTCATTATGAAACTTGAAAGTTTATGGTTACTATGTGTTCTTTGGTTCACCTCAGTGGTAGGTTTTGAGGATATTAAAGTTGGATGGTCCATGTTCTCGTTCAAGCCCGGACTGGTATGTACCAGCCAATATGTACTGATCCGGGTGGAACGTTAAGCCTTAGTGTAAATTTTGAACATCATCGTGTGGTCTTTAAAATTTTGTTTAGTTTATTATTACATGCACATTTCTGCCCATCAAGTTGAGAACTTATCCTAAATAATTTGTGAATTGCTCTGGAATAGTCCCATGCATTTATCAACTGTGCATATATTTGTCATGCTTTTTTGCTTCAGATGTCCTGCATATGGCTGAATCATGGTATTTCTTTGC